GATGTAGGAAGTTTGAAGAAAAAACTTGGAGCCGTTTTGAAGAAAATGGCGAATATGTGATTTTTAGCAAAACTCTCATATTTGAGGTTTACAACGACAATTCGTAAGAAAACATTTATTCCATGAGTTTTTTTAAGCTTTGATGCTGATTTTTCGTAAGTACTAGATGATAAGATTCTGAAAATTTCAGAAAATTCGTAGCTACAGCTATCGGTTCGCCCGCGCTTTACACCATTCCTTTAAATGTTTGAATACGGAGTGAAGTAGACCACCCCTCCCCCTATAGATACGAATCCGCGTATCCACTCCAACTATATCTATAGGGGGAGGCCGGTGGTCTTCTTCACTGCGTATCTGCGTAATCTATAGGGGGAGGGGTGGTCTTCTTCACTGCGTATCCGCGCATCCACTTCACCATATGCCTCGTTCTTAAAAGTTAACATTTTGCATATACCTTCTTATCTACAGGGGGAGGGGTCCTACCTCCATCTCCTCAAGCTACTACAAGTAAGTGCATGAACGCGACACTGTTTGTCTTTTCACTTTAGCACCGGGCACCAATTGCACCAAATACTTGTAAATTTCAGGTACTAAATACATTACAGAGAATAAATTAGTGAATATGGCCTAACACTGCTGAAGCCTGAAGTTTTCCTCATTAGCTTCTCTTGGTATATTCTCTTTGCTGTTTCATTGTTATTCTTTATATCTCGAGGAATCTTGAGTCACGTTGGTTGCACTTCAAGAATAGAAAAAACATATTTATCTTACTAGGACTTGCAAATTGCAAATAAATCAGTTGAAGGTGGAGAAAATGCAGTTTTTATTCCCATCGCTAGGGAGGATCACATCATTTTCAACGCACAAAATCCCCCCGCTAACAAGTCCTTAAGAAGTGGGGACAAATGCATTGTTCCAGGAAACATGGCTGCTACGTTACTATGTCCTTATTTTGCTATGAAATTAGTCAGTAAAAAAAGAAACTCAAAAGCTAGCCAGGGTCATTTGGATAATAGAGGAACATCACTAAAAACGTACTTGTAATAACCTACACTCTTCACTATTATATGGTTTAAGGTGCAGTGACATCGACGCCGACGCCAACGCCATCTGCGTCGTCAACGCCAACGCCAACTGCGTCGTCAACGCCAACGCCAACATCATCGTTCTCACCAACACCTGCCAGTCCGGGAGTTGCATCAAGGAGTGGTAAGCTCCACATTTTGGATAGATTTGCTAGTCTATTTTATTAAGAGGTCACAGCTTGTTCATAAGGGGGACAGAATGGTGAAGAGAACGTATAAGGAATAGTTCAAGTTTATTCTGCATCTGAATAGACTATCTGATATGTCTGGTTCTCAAACATTTTAACAAACCTGTGTTTATCTTATAATATATATATGTTATAATTATTTGGTGGCCATGATTGCTTTTCTATAAATTAAAAAAAATATGGATTTTTCGCAGCTTTCTTTGTCACGGTGTTGTTGCGGTTTTTCGGTACTATTTTCATGTCGTTTGTGCCAGTGAGTACAAAAATAGGAATTTCGAAAAGCAAATCGAATCTCGAGCTATATATTCACCAAAGATTCCCTATCTTTTCCTTGAAATATCAAATTAAGAAAAATCTTTGGTTGCAAAGGACATTTCTCGAATTAACTAGAGTTTCGATCATCAAAAAATGACTCCATGTTGGATTTGATAAAATAGAGTGAAGGTATGAAAACATCAAGTCTTTAAAATTTAAATTTCGTAAATTTTGTAAACTTCGGGAAAGCTCTTGTTTTATATGCTACATAATCTTTGAAGGAATGATTTGTTCACACATGAATAATCACCTTAAATAACCTAAACATTCAAACCACCAAGGTTAAACTCGTCTAGATACGTGATGTAAATAGAATCTCAGATTGTATTACCTGGTTATATAAGGATGAGCAATATAACTATTTCTGTGCATTCAATCTTGTACTTAGTTGTGAACAAGGCTAAGGTTAATTGCAGTTCGGATTGTACTGGGAGGTACAGACCTAAGTAAGGACAGTGGCCAAGTAAGGAATCCCGACTGACAGCCACACCGACTAAGGAAAGTCCTTCTGGTCAACCTGACTCTGCTCTAGTTTGAGTAGTTAGATCTGACACTCAACTTGTATAAACGTCTAAGACGAGGTTCAATAAAACGAGTGGCTCGAGAGACCAGAGATCCCTCCCGTTTCATTGTCCTACACTCTTGTATGTGGTCACTAAATTAAAAATTTAATTCTCTGTTGCAGTCACATCGTCCACTCATTCTACTACTGCAAGTAAGTAGAAATATACTATTGTTTAGCATTACTAATAATAGCCCTCTCCATATTCATCAGTAGGAAGAGTCAACGGCTAAAAG